AAAAAATTTTAAATTATTTTTTTTACCATATAATATTAAAGTGAGTTAGAAATGGTATATGCAGAATAAATTAGTATAGAAATGGTCGCTTTGGTAAAGACCCGTATTTTACTGATTCGAAAAGCTAGGATATGCATATTAAAAAAAGTATAGAGAAGGTCGGTGTTGAATAGACTTACAAAGACCCGTGTTTTTACAGGTCCGGTCATGTGCAACTTTTTATACCGATGGTCACGTTTCGAGCGGGTAGACAAGTACTAACATCCAATCGACGATTTACACAATGGTTACCGAAACATGTAACGTTTAATAAGGTTAACTATTATAAGAACTTTTATTTTTCATTGCTTTAAGAAGGAAACAATAAGTATAGTTTTTCTATATGTATACAGCTATTTTTCAACAGCTCACTACAAAATATTGAAGTAAAGAATAATAATATAGAAAAGGGCGATTTGGAATAAATTTACAAAGACCCGTATTTTACGGGTCATGACAGCTAGTTCTTAATATTATTACTGTAATTTAATAGTAGTAGTAGTATTGTTTAACTTTTGTTTTTAAAATAGTTTCTAGGCTTTTTTATACGTGGTTTTTAATTCCACGCGGAATAAAAGGTCTGCAAGCATATTAGAGCTGACATATTTTAAGTTTTGTTCATTGCTTTAAAACTAAAAACCTAACTGAATTTAAATAATCGTTTGTTTGTATTTATTATTATTATTTTTATTATTATTATTATTGTTATTATTACTATTATTGTTATTACTGTTATTATTTATTAGTCTTTTGTTTTTGTTTTCTTTTTCTTTATTTATTTTTTTCCTATACTTATATCTTAGTTTTCTTTGTTTACCTTTTTTTTTTTCTTCTTTAAATTCCTTCAATGTTATATTTACTTTTTTTTTAGTAGTCACTCCATTGATTAGTTTTTTACTATACGAGTAACACCTTATCTTATTTAAGTAAGTTTATAATTTAATATTGTAAGATTCCATATTTCGGAATGGAAGTACTCTATGTTCTACAATGTTTGAAATAAAACGAAATCACTTATTATAAAATCTCAAAAAAAATTTAAAAATAAGTTTTTAACCTTAATAACTGTTTCTTGAAATATGAAATTTAAAGTTGAATATTTAGACTAAAAGCGGGTAGAATGAAATAGAGGATGGAATGAAATAGTAATGACAAAGTTTAAACTTTTACTCCTAGTTATTTGTACAATAAACATTATGCAAGTATTTTTTGATCGTGTTGTGAAGAACCTTTTTCTGAATAAGTTGACATAAAACTTTAAAACAAAATAAATAAGTTTTTCTATGAATAGTCAAATTTTCGACGTAATAATTCTCTCTTTTTTTTTTTTTTTTTTTTTTTTTTTTTTGATAAATGGACATAAAACTCTAAAAGTGAAATTTGCTGGCATTGAACTTAAAACATATCCTTGCATAACTTTCAAGAATCTTTTTTCAAAATTAAATTTGCTATTTCTGGTAAAAGGTTATGAGTTAAAATAGGAAACGGTGAACTATGGGGTTGAATGAAATGACGCTTATTATTTGCTTGGTAAATAGGTCTTTTATTATTCAATTATGTCTAAACTGACCAATGAATCTTATAAATTCTTCGTTCAACTTTTAAATCAAATATTATCAAATCTATTCTAATATAAACTATGCCTAAGTTGCACGCAAAAAAAACAAAAAAAACAAACGCCGAAGACCAAGATATGAAAAAAAACTTTTTTTTTAAATTTTATTTTAGATGCTCCAAGAAGTCCTTACGGTTTTATCCTATTGTTAGATTCTATTGTTTAAATTATCCAATTGGAGCTTTGGTATGATTTACAAAAACGTCATCACTGTAGTTACTGACCATTTGCAACTCCAAGGTCAATTTTATCTGTTTTCCAACGGTACACCAGGGAAAGATTAGTAGAAACTTTTCATAAACCGGTGGAGTCATAAATTAAGCAACTGAGCCTTTGGCAATACTTAATCACTCAAAGCCGCTTATTGCACGCAAGAAAACGCAAATTATTTCAACACACTACAAAGAGAATTCAACAAAGCAGGTATTAACAAAAACACTTCATGTAATTTTTAGAATTTTGATGAAATTGACTTCTCTGTTGATTAAGGAAAGCAACTCTTAGTTTGCTAACATGGTGCTAAACGACCATTGAAATTGATTGACACAAATAAAAAAATCAATTAAACAGTTGAAAATTACATCGATTCTGCTAGTTATCGTCTTGCGCTATGAATTATTTTTAAATCAAAAAAACGTCTGTACAAAAATTGATACTTAAGTGGTACAGATGATACCGTATACGCAACATCTCTGTCCGGATGGATGAAAGATAAACAATTTGTCCAGTGGCTCACAGACGTTTACGTTCCCGCAATAAAAAATTGTCAGATAAATCAACTATTTATTTAATTATTTAATTAAATAACTTTGGTTATCTTATTATAGGTACTCAGATTTTAGTAGTATACACATGTTACCTAACGGATTATACCTATTTGTATCGAAAACAATATCTTTTTTTAATTTGCTTACTAGCTCATTTGTCACATATTCTGCAGCCACTTATTGCCGGTTATTTTCATGTCAAAAGAGTTTGGTGCAAACTACTTTTAGAGATTTTTGAAGAGACAAGGTTTAGCAATATGTCAAAAGAATGTATTAGTAAACTGAAAGCAAAACCTTTTAGCTCTGATGTCTGAAGTTTTTACCCGCACACAAATAGTCACTGGATTTCAAAGTACTTATTTATTTCCACTCAGCATGAAGAGAATCAATCAGTCTGAATTACGAATTGTTTATTCGTTTGAGACACTTTAATCTTAACCTAAGCTTTTGTCATCTCAACCATCAGAATCTATGCCAGTGTACCACCACTAGCACCACTAGTTACAGAATCACAACCACTGCCTTCTGAATCTAAACCAACGACACCTAGCATCTACAACCTTTGTATAGCCCCAGATCCAAAGTCAACTTTATACTCGCATGCAACTAACCTTCAATATAACTCCGGCTACTCAAAAGGACATTTAAAAAGAAGTTGAAAAACAATTGCAATCGGTCCAATTGCTTGCCGCAGCTTTGCAGAAAATGTTTCACATCCAAAATGTTTACATAAAAAAACGAAAAAATGTAGACGTGTCAAGATGCGAAGGGGATTTTCTCAATAAATATGATCGAATAGTTAAAGACGCTGATAGCAAAAAAGCAGCAAAGCATTCTAGAAACAACATAAGCTTGACTTTGATGAGCAGCAGAAAATCTGTCAACAAAAGTGACTCCAACAACAGTAGCAAACCAAGTCAAGTATAAAAAGTTACGTAATGTTTTGAGCGAAGCTTCAGCAAGTCAAAATAAGCGCAGCACAAGTGACAACTCACCTCAACTTTAGAGCCTCTTAAAGAATCAACATCATCAAATATATAAATTTTATTATAGTTTTCAAATATAAGATAAATAATAGGATATTTAAATACTCCTCGAAGTTCTGAAAAAAAAAAAAATTAATATTCTTTTTCTAATAACAATATTTTTTGCTTAATTACCGTTGTACATAAGGCAACTGATTTTTAAGTAGTTTCTAGGCTTTTATAAACGCATTAGAGTTAGAGTTCTCGGCTTTCAATGCGAATTGTTGTTGTTTTTTGTTTATTTTACTGATTAATATAAGCAGTTTTAATTGAAAAACGTTTGTTTGTTGTTGTTGTCGTTGTTGCTTTGTTTTTTGTTCAATTTACTTTGTCTAGATTCTTAAAAAGTTGAAAATGACTGGTAAAGTGTTTTTTTTTTAATGCAGTTTTTCTTTACGGTTCAGTTTGGCCTTTAGTCTTTTTCAGAACTTTTTTATTTGCTTACAAAACAATTTATATACATATATATATATATATATTTCTTTTTCTTTTTTTTTTTCTTTTTGTTCTTGAATCTTTACAAATTCGTAATATATAATAGAATCTTTACAGAATAAGTAAAATTAAAAAAAGAATCACAAAGTTACGTTATACAAAAATATATAAAATAACGCTGTAAAGTATAAGAAATTATTTCAAGGAAGGGTTAGGGTTTTAGTACTAAAAATAGGTTCAGCTCTTTTTAATTTCTTTAAAAAATAATATATAAATTGTTTTGAAGGCAAATAAAATTATTCTGAAAAAAAAAAACTAAATAATAGAGTACTATAGTACTTTATCGTAGGAAAAATAATCAGGAATAGAAACATTAAAAGAATTATGCTGGATGTTATAGGGAAAAAAAAACATGTTGCTCCATGTTTCATTGTTAAAGTGTTTTAAATGCTTCTTTTTAAAGGTACGAGATATATAAGGTATATATATTTTTTAAAGTGTTAAATTTGTTCTTAAACTGTCTCTTTTTTACTACTTTAGATTAAAATATGACCGACATTGCATTATTTTTTTTAAACAAGATGTTGTATTGCAATCTGCATTCTTTGATTGTTAAATTAAAAATAAGTGATGTTAAAAAGATTGTTTTATGTTTATAATAAATGATTGAGTTTAAATATCAGTTTGTATTTATTTACTTTTTTCATACTTGTTTGTAACTTTTATAAATACAGTTAACAATTTAAACTTAAAAATAAAAAAAATATGGATTCCAATCCCAACGGGCATTCGAACATTTAATCAACGTTTAGTTAATGTTCGTTCTAAATGTTTAGATTTAATTTAGTTTCGATTTAGAACGTAGGTCAATCGAATGTTCCATTTAAACCATATCTAAATGGTTCGTTTTAAACGCTATTTAAACTTCATCTAAATCTTTCGTTAAATTTCGCGACGTTTAACTTTATTTTACGGCGCTTATTTAAAGAAGCATAAATAAATAAAAAATACTGATAAATGAATCAAACTTTTCTTTTATTTAAGCTGCTTTAAATATGTATCGTAAAGAAAAGTTAAACGTTCAACGCATTATCTAAATACTCAAAAACAAATTAAACATTAAACAGATAACTTTTTATTTATATAAGTCTAAAATACAAGTAAAATCATTTTATTTATTATTATATGCATTATCGTATTCGTCATCATGATCGGCTCCATAACGATCATTGTCATCTTTGCTTGAACTGATAACCTTTCTTATTTTCACCTATACGGAAGGGAGCCATTCTAAGATAAGAACCAATGCACGATACCATATTGCGGATACCGAAGTCATACAATCTTTTTACTAAAAATAAAAATAACTCAATAAACATCTTCATTCTATTCATATAAATCATTCATTTAACATATATAAATCCATAGTTTTATAGATTATAGAAGATTGTACATTAGTACAGTGTACATTGAGTAACTATAGTAAGAATTCATAAAGAACATTTTTTTAAAACTCTGTATAATATATAAAATTTATATAATAAAAACCTTATTAAAAAAACTTGTAGTTATCGCAAGTTTGATAACTCCTATTATCCATTGTCTTGAGGAGCAGAGGCACACTCAGTATCCTGTTTGATTGAAACTTTCTATTTAATTGAAAAGTTGTGGAGATACCGACAGTTTCACTACAATATAAATAAATATGTAAAAATAAAATTGTAATTCCTAAAATTCTTTAAGTTAAAAACTAATCAATAAACATTATAATTAAAATTTATATATCAAAATCATATATGTACTAACAAGCAACTCAAGCTATAAATTAAGTACTACTTGATCAATCCATTGTATAGAGTGACCGGGTCCCCGGCCTCGGCTAAAAACAGAGGTTTTTGCAAACCAGGCCCCGGCTAATACATACACAATTTGCAGGGGTTACTAGCCGGGGCTGGATTTTTGTTGTTGTTTTTGTTGCTTTTTTTAAAATTTTCTCAAGTTAAAATTTTTTGTTAAAGTTTAAGGAAATATAAGAAAAAGTCACAAAAATAATATATAACTCATAAATATTTACAATGACAAATAAGAAATAAGACACTTTATAATAATTTAAGTTTCTTCCTCTGATTCTGATGATTCTGTGTCCCAGACATCATAGTATTTTGAACTAGGTGGTGTAAAGTCTTCAGGGGCATCACATAAATATGTTGAATAAGAAAGAGCCTTGAATTGTATTTTAAAAAAAGAAGTGTTTCAACATTCTGTGTTGTAAGTCTGATGCGATCTTTTTGTATTAACTTTGAAACCTTGAACTCCCTCTCACTAGCTGTTGAGCTTGAGGGTGAACATAAATATACTTTTGCCAAGTTTGCTAGCTGTGGCAACTCGCTTTTCATGAGACTCCAATATAATAATGGATCTTCTGAAATATCTATTCGCTTTTTCTTGTTATTCTTTACATTTAAGTAACTTTTTTCTTATTATTCTTTACATTTAAATACTGGAATAGCTCAACTATGTAATTCTAATGATTAAAATTACAATTAATTACAAAGTTACTTACATTTTAAATGTAAATGCAATTTTACAATAAATTTATCTTATGAAATTTATTTTAGGATATTTTAAACAACCTGATTGTTAGCAATTTTTAAATATTTTTTTAAATTATTAACTTTGTTTAAAAATTTCAAATAATCAACTTATTACATGATGGCCACTGACTTTTCTAGAATATTCAGGTTGCTGGCTTGTTTGTTCTTTCATCCGGAAAGAACAAATAGATATATGGTGTCTTTAAAAGATAGGAAAAAAAGCAATGATCTTAGAGATAATATGAGAGTAGTAATTATATTTATAGTGTGTATCAGAGAAGATCATAATGATGCCAATGATTAAGATGATGATGATGATCATTGTCATCATCATCATTATCAGAATCATCTTAATCATCATCATCAACTGTATGCTTGATGATGATGATGATGATGATGATGATGATGATGAAGATAATGACGATGATGATGATGACAATGAGATGATATATATACCTTTATATAAAATATATCATGAATTTTGAATAAAAGTAATATATTTATAAGGAATATCAATATTAATGCAGCCCCGGTCACAAACCCGGCCCCGGCTATTTTTTAATAAAACCGGCCCTGGCCCCGGTCAAATATCAACCTCGGTCGCTTACTAATCCATTAGTTTGTTCTTTGATATAGTAGTTATGTGAATAATGGTATTTTAGAACCCAATTTTTGAGCTAACAGAAAAGGAGACTTTGCAAGTACTGATGGGTTAGCTACAATGTAAATAACTATATAGATATATTATTTTTACAAAGTTATTTTAAATAAAATTTACCAAAGCATTGTAAATTTGATTTTAAAAAGTCTATCCTAAAAGGATTACATTGCTAAATACGTTTATCAGTCATAAAATTAGCAGGTTTATCTAAAAGTAAAGGAGTTTTATATAAAAGATATAAATTTAGACATCTTACTTGATTGGCCCATTCTAGAGTCTTTTGGTAAAGTAGTCACACTTAATTTTAATAAAGATATCTTAGAATGTGATAGAATGCTAGAGACAAGGTGGCTGTGGAAGTGGTGGTGGTTTAACTAAAATGTAAATCCGAGTGTATATTGTCTGAGATATGTTCATTACAACTATTATTAGTCTTCAAAGATAAAAATAGGACAACTTACTTGCATAATCTTAACTTAATGCATGCAAGTATTTCTAGCACTAAGGTCTTCACAAACTCTATTTCATGTTTATTGTAACATAAAATTAGCTAACCTATCAATATTCGTACCTTTCGCATTAACTTTTTTACTTTACCGTAAAAATGACTAATCATTTACTAATTAAAACTTGCTTTTTTTTTTTTTTACATAAAAATTAGAACAAACTAAATAAAACTATTATTTTTAAATTTATAATATATATATATATATATATATATATATATATATATATATATATATATATATATATATATATATATATATATATATATTATAAATTTAAAAATAATAGTTTTATTTAGTTTGTTCTAATTTTTATGTAAAAAAAAAAAAAGCAAGTTTTAATTAGTAAATGATTAGTCATTTTTACGGTAAAGTAAAAAAGTTAATGCGAAAGGTACGAATATTGATAGGTTAGACTAATAATAGTTGTAATGAACATATCTTAGATATGTTCATTACAACTATTAACAATATGTAAAAGGAATAACAAAACATCTTATTCAAAGCAAAGAAAAATAAAATTTAAAAGTAAAATATTTAACATTTTTTGAATAAAAATTATTATATCACAAACTAAAATAACAATTCAATAAAATATCAAGCTTTTGGTACTTCCAATCAAACAGCCTGACGATATGACATTTTGCTAAAATGTTAACACTAATTTGGTTGAAGGTACATCAACACATAACATTAACTTGTAACTAAACTTGTTAAAAGTGTTTTAAATAAGTTTAGTCGTCTAGTTTTTTTAGCTTTTTTTGCTTACTTTAGTTTTCCTAATTCCGAGGGATAATATCCCGACGGGCATTTGTTTTTAAAAATTACGTTCTAAATGTGTTTTAAATGTCTTTTAAACGTCTTTTAAACATTAATGTTTAAAAGACGTTTAAAAGACATTTAAAAGACATTTAGATCGTAACTTTTAAAAAGAAATGCCCGTCGGGATACATATACATACTATATATTTCGACCTGTAAAATTTCAAGCTTGGTAGGTCTTTCATAACATAATAAAATAAATGAAAAATAATGCAATAAATATTTCAATAGCTTTTAGATAAAGAGCATTAGATAAAAACAGAACAAGTTGAACTCTCTTTTAACTAATTTAAACTTTAAAGACTCGAACCAATCATCAATGTACCTTTCAAAAATAACAGGAATTACCTTTAATCTTACATTATTTTTTAAGCGTTGAATTTTTATAAATAGATTTTCATAAGCCTGAGCAATTAGATTATGATTTAAAAGGTAAATATCTGACAGATGTTCAGATTTTAGAATCATATTTAAAAGTACAGAGTTTGCAGTTTATCTTGTGATTACTAAAAAAATAACTTTAAGTTTTAAAAACACTGCACTTTTTATTTACAGAATGATCTTTACAGAAATAGCCATTAACTTAATTATTATTTTAGGATAATCTAAATTTTAAAGGAGTAAACATGTCACAAAAAATCAATTTACCACTTGCATGTGTGCTTTGCTGTTTCCTGTTGCTTTAATTATTGTTGCAATTGACTGGACTGTAGATGAAATATTAAATGATATTAAACATGCAAAACTTAATAAACAATAAAAAAAATGTTTGCGCAGATTTTAGAAATATAATATAACTATGTAATATAACTATATTATTGTTTGAACCATGTTAACTTTTCTACTAAATAGAAAATAAATGATACAATATAATAATCTATCATATCAGAGGTAAGTAAATTTATTTTCTCTTTATTGGTTATCATATAGGAGTATGAATAATACTTAAACTTCTAAAAGTATTTTTTAGTTTACACTAAAAGCCTACACTAAAACTAAAGATCCATTATATAAATATTTGAACCTCATATTTTTTGATTGGCACTGACTGCACTAAAAGTATAAATATTATAACATTGCGATTCGATCAATGTAACATCTATCATAAACAAATAGATGTTAGGTCTTAATATAAACAAACAATAATAATTTTATTTAGCTATTTAAAAGTAGTAACTACTTATAATGCATAATTTTTCTCTCAAACTTTTAGAGAAAATTTATGCATTTAAAGTGGTAACTATTTTTCATAATTTTTCTACTTTTAATAAAAGTAGAAAAATTAGGAAGCTAAGAGTTAACTATAGACGTTCTAAAGCGTTGTTAAAAACCAAACAGAAAAAACAATTTAAGAAATATTAAAAAAAAATGCTGAAACTGATACTTTTTTGAAATTACTGCTAATTTTTTGAAACTGCTTTTTTAGTAGCAATAACTAAATAAAGAATTATCAAAATAAATTGTTACTGTACTTAAAATTACTTTTAATCGCTTATACAATATTATGGAAAAACTTACAGAACTTTTTAGCTGCTTCATTAACCACCAGTATTATAATACTAAAAACAATTTTTTTTTTCTCTTCTAAACTATTTATTACATAATTTAAGATTCATAAGAAATTCTAAATTTTAATCATAATGAAAGATTCACATTAAGTATGAATTAAGTTAGTTCCGTACGGAAATTGTTTGATTTAGCTTTTCAACGCAAATTCAGAACACGTTTAGAACAGATTCCTAAACGTGTTCTGAATATTTAATTTAGTTAATTTAATTTAATTAGATATCTAAATATTTAATTAATATTTAATATAATATTTAATATAAAATATTTAATATAATATTTAATTTAGTTAATTTAATTTAATTAGATATCTAAACGTGATCTAAATCAATTTTAAACCAACAAATCCCCTTTGGGATAAATCTTAAACCGATATAAAATAATATTTTATTTGTAGTAATGTTTTCATTAAAGTTTTAATAAAATTGTAAAATTTTTTTTTTGAAGTTTTTTTATAAGAATCTCATGATAGATTGTATCAAAGCTTTTGATAGATCACTAAAAATTCCAAGAGTAAATTGCGATTTCTCAAACGAATCTGCAATATTTATTGTCAGATGAAGTACTGCGTGTTCAGTGA